ATGTGTGTGTGTGTACAAGTCCATACACAGAATCCTATATATGTATCTATATATAGATATATACCTATACACCTCAATTTTGCATCCCAAAGACAAATGTCCATGCACTCACAGTTTCGTACCCATCCTACCTATCATATCTACTGTAATTGCAGATCTAGAATGGTTCGGCCTGCACGCCGAGAAGCATCACTGGTTCTCTATCTTCGACTACGTTGCAACCATTCTGTTACTTGCTATTGCGCGCGTAGTCAACAAAAACAGTGAGTACGTGGGCAAGCACGTGGCCGTACCCCTCACCCGGCGCCACTCGGACCCGCAGTCAAATACCTACCAAAATACCTACCAAGCTGATAGGCCGCGACACTCACAGTTAAATACCTACAATAATACCTACCACGCGGATAGGGTGGAGGTGGAAGTGGACGCATCGAGAGCCGAGACACACATGACCGTGCCTACAGATACACAGGGATATCTGCCGGACTATGGAGACGTGCATAGAGGCAGAGATGGAGATAGGGATAGAGACCCACAGGCATATACACATACACATGCACCGCCACTTGCCCATACAAGCACAGACAGACAGAAAGACATGGACGTGAGGTTGGATGGAGAGGGGCATGGCCTGGGTACGGATCTATTCGGAGGTCTACACTCGCACACGTCACCCAACCTGTACAGAGACGGCGCACGGGCAGCTGACGGTAGGTATACACGTCCGAACCTCGGGTTGTATAACGGGACAAACCGGGATCGGGCCGGGGCTACGCACAGTACGGATACCCATCCACACAGCCAGGCTCAGGGCGAGACAAGCGCCGGGGAGTCGTCGCGACCGCAGAGTCCGGCCAAAGACCCTATAGATGACCCCATCCATCTGAGTTTAGGCGCGTATTTTCTTTACTTGCTGGATAATCTGTACTCGTTGATTGGGCTGAGTGTGTGCTATCTCATGACCGCTGCAACGGCCTTTCTGCGGTTGGACTGCATAGGGGCTCTGTATATCCTGTGCCTCGGGGCGATGCTTTTGGCGGGACGTGAGAGGGTTGCTAAGTATGTGAGGAGCATGCGGATTACGATGAGTGGTGTAGATCACTCTGTATGCGGTTTTAGGGTTTTGGTCTTTAGGATTTTGGGGTTTTCTTTTGTTAGTTTGCATGCGCACTATATATATATATATATATATACATATATATATATATATAT